TTTGCCGCACCCGAACGTCGCATTGTCTGCCTTGATGGCGATGGATCCTTCCAAATGACAGGGCCGGAGCTCTGCACACTGCTGCGGCACAACCTGAACTTCCTCCTGATCATTTTGAACAATGCGGGTTACACGGCAGAGCGTGCCATCCATCCTGACCGGGACGACTCTTACAATGACATCCATGTGTGGAACTACCACTTGTTGCCCCAGGCATTGGGTGGTCGGCAGGATTCGAACGGTGTGGATGCCCACACGGAAGCTCAGTTCGTCGATGCCCTGTCGTCATATCGTGGAAAGGGCCTGCAGGTGGTCAATGCACGGCTGGACAAAAATGACATGCCAAGCTTTTTCATCGAGATGAGTGACATGCTAAAGCACTGAAGCTCTCTGAAACTTGCATAGATGGCCGCAAAAGGATGTGAAGGCATCCTCCTGCGACCGAGCCTGCGCCGACGATGCCGCAGTGCTCAGGCCATGGCCCTGGCTCAGCTTCCCCGCTGTACAGGAGGGGGGACTCCGTCCGGCCATTTGCGGTGATGTACAGATGGCGCGTGATGAGATCGCCCTGGCGAGTGATCCCGAAACCAAAGGTATCTCTCCGGTGACCGGCACGGCTCGTAAAGCTAGAATTGCTGTGCCCTGAACACTGAACCCTGCAAACTCACTAAACGCCCTGAGTTTAGGGCTTCGTGGCTTATGAGCTTTAGGGAGCTTGGGGCTTTGAGGTTCAGGCTTGAGGGCTGGGAGTTTGTATCCTTGTTTCAGGGCTTTTGGCAGTCGGAGCACACCGCAGATGGAGATTTCCAAAGCAATAGGAGTTTCAAAGAGCAGGGATACGCTACAGACCGTGAAAGCAAGAACACCCACAAAGGATCCCCCTTTGTAAGAAGCAAGCAAACAGGAAGAATGCGTCACGCTTAGAAGGGCCCTTCGAAGCACTGGTTTAGAGGCCTACGCGTGTGTCTGCTGGCTGCTAGTTAGCTAGTTCGGCTAGTTAGGTTGTTGAGTGGCGTGATAGAGGGGTAAGAACAATTTGTTAGTGCTATTATTCCTAGAGGTTCATTATGAGAACTCTTACGATAGCATGCACCAAAACCTATTCTGACTGTTAAGGACAACAGTTCACGGCACCATGCTGTGAAGCCACAACATGTAGCAATGATAGGCTTGATCCTTCATCTTTCGTCGGCTATACGCCTCTACCCTAAACCCTAAACTATACCCTAAACCCTAAACCCTAAACTATACCCTAAACCCTATACCCTAACCTTAACCTCAAACCCTAAACTCTAAATAAAAAACCTATCCCCAAAGCCCGAGGTTTTCGGTGGATATGTCTCGAAATCTACTAAGCCCTACAACCCGAAACCCTGAAGCCCTAAACCCTAAAACCCTAAGCCCTAAAACCCTAAACCCTAAAGCACTATAACCCTGGAGCTCTAAACCCTGAAGTAAACCCTAAACCCCTAAGCCTTAAAACCCTAAACCCTAAACCCTAAAACCCTAAACCCTAAACCCTAAAACCCTAAACCCTAAACCCCCAAACCCCTAAACCCTAAACCCTTAAACTCAGGAGCTAAGGATTCAAATGGCAGG